GGACCGGATTTGATTTACTCGAGACGAGTAAAGGTTTAAGTGTGGGGGTGTTTGATGCACACTAATTAGTAGTGCATAATTATATGTTTTTATGTTTGATTTATGTTGATTGTTTGACGTTTTATTTAGTTTGTAAACATTTATGTAATTTCAGTTGTAATTGTATTTTATTCTTTATTTATAAGTTGTAAAGTTTAGTTAGGATTAGTGGTGTTGGAAAGGAACACTTTGAAGAGAAGAAAACAAGAAATTTGACTGTCCAGGAGTGAAACCCGACCGGGTAGAAACCCCCACCCGGTCGGGTATGATTTAACAGACGAAATTGCCAAGAAAGTCACTGGACCCGGTCGGGTCAGATGTGACCCGAGACAAAACGACGTGCGAAGATCACCAGAACGTGGGGAAATATCTGATTTTGACCAGACCCGGTCGGGTGAGTACTTGACCCGGTCGGGTACCCGGCCAAAGGTGTTGAAAAACACCTATAAATAGCACACTTTTTCTTCTCTAAAAGAATCCCTTCTTCCATACTCTTTAGCTCAGTTTAGAATAGTATTTCTTTATATTTTTCTAGCTATGTTTAGTCTCCAAATGAGGAGCTAAACTTCCATTCTTGGTGTTGCTCTTGAAGCTTGTTGATTATTAAAGTTGTGAGTTATTTTCTTAACTTCTTTCCTTGAATATTAGTTAATAGTTCTTTCCTTAATATCATCTCTATATTAATGTTGGGGAGTGTTGCTAAGATGACAATTAGTCAACATCTCGACATTAGTTAGAATGGTATTTTCTTCCTCTATATTAATGTTGGGGAGTGTTGCTAAAATGACAATTAGTTAACATCTCGATATTAATTATAGTAGGATTCATCTTCTTTAATAATATTCTTCCTTGAATATTAATTAATTCCTACTCTTATTTCATATTAATATTTTGAACATTACTTAAAGGATCAACTAGTTTTGTTTCATATATTAATTATTACTAGAAACGATCAACGAACTGATGGTTAATCGTTGATGGTTTCACAAGTAAGTAACTCCGGTTTATTAATGCACGGTCGTGGTTAATAAACTTAAGAGGGATTAATTTTGTTGGTTAAACCGAAACCGCTTGTGTTGAGGTTATCAATCTCAATTGATTTCATCAAGGAGTTAGAAAGATTAAATGCTACTATTAAATCGGTATAAGGCGTTGTTCTATATTTGATTAATAGTAAGGGTTATTAATGAACGGTCGTTGTTAATAACTACCATCGATGAAGTGGATATATTCCCCGATTGAGTATTCGAGAGGGAATAAGTTATAGATATAACAATGATCGACCAAAATATATCAACAAGTGGAAAGTAGCAATGCCAAGTCCTTTTTATCTTTGAATTAAATCTCATATAGGTTGTTCATCTTAGTTCTTAATTAAATTAAATCACTCAAACCAAATCCCCCCTTTTTATTTGCTAAGTATCATAAAAAAGAGAAATATTCCTTTCCCTGTGGATACGAACTCTACTACGCTATACTACGTATAAGTGTTTAGTATTGAATTTATTTTGACGCACCGTGACAAAGCTTACACACTATGGGAGAAGTTTGGTAGCATGTATCAAGCAAAGGCTGTCCAAAATAAGACGTTACTAATGAGGCGATTAGTAAACCACAAGTTACAATGTGGTATTTTGGTGTCAGAACATACCAGTCAATTCCAGAATCTCGTGAATTAGTTGAGCACCACCGGATGAGTTCTCAAAGATGAAGAGCAGGCGATACTACTCTTGAGCTCTCTCCCTGACAGCTGGGAGACTCTTGTTGTCACTCTCAGTAATTCTGCTCCAAATGAGAAGGTGACTATGCAGATGGTCACAGATGCCCTAATGAATGAAGAAACTCGAAAGAAGGAAGCCGGGACGGAACAATCATATGACCTCATATCAAAAACTAACAGACGAGGGGGAGGCAGAAATGGAGAAAGAAGTCAAGGTTGAGGTAGAGGTCAAGGTCAAAGTAGAGGAAATTCTCAAGTTCGCGGCAGATCACAAGAGAGAGCTATGTCCTTTGAAAACAATACTTGGTTCGAAGGATATTGCAATTATTGTAGTAATTATGGGCATAGAAAAACATATTGTAGAAAGTTTCTACGAGAGCAGCCACAGACGAGTCAAAATACTAGCCAAGAAGATGGTGCGACCATGGTTAGTTTGTCATCAGATGTGTTGCTTGTTACACACGGTGAACAAGAATGTTTACACGTAGGTACTCATGATGTTGAGTGGGTGGTTGATACAGCTGCATCATTTCATGCCACTCCACACAAAAACTTATTCACATCTTATAAGTCTGGAGACTTTGGAGCTGTGAAGATGGGGAACACCAGTTTCTCGAAGATTGTTGGCATTGGTGATGTGCACATAACAAACAATGTCCGATGTGCACTTGTGTTGAAAGATGTTCGACACGCTTCGGATCTTAGATTGAATCGTATCTCCAGTACAAATATGGATCAGCAAGGATATCTTAACCGATTCAAAGAAGGTACGTGGAAGTTATCTAAAGGTTCCTTGCTTGTTGCAAGAGGACATATTTGTGGTACTCTTTATAAAACTCATGCAAAGTTGTGTCATCCAAGTCTCAATGCTGTTGAAGAAAAGACATCATCAAACTTGTGGCACCGGAGGTTAGGCCACTTTGTGTGAAGGGATTGACAACTCTTGCAAATAAGGAAGCCATTTCCATTGACAAAGTTGTTGCCCTAGATCCATGAGAGCACTGTCTATTTGGGAAACAACACAGAATTTCCTTCAGTTCTACCAGGAAGAACCATTCAGAGTTACCCAGTCTTGTCTACTCAAATGTATATGGACCCATTGAAGAGGAGTCACTTGGAGGAAGCAAATGTTTTGTGACATTCATTGATGATGCGTCACGAAAGGTATGAGCTTACTGTCTAAAGGATCAAGTGTTTGATCGTTTTAAACTATTTCATGCCATGGTAGTTAGAGAAACAGGGAAGAAGTTGAAGTGTCTACATTCAAACAATGGAGGAGAGTACACTTCCCAGGAATTCTCAGCATATTGCGCTGCATATGGAATCAGACATGAAAAGACGGTTCCACGAACTCCACAACACAATGGTGTAGCCGAAAGAATGAACAGAACCATTGTGGAGAAAGTTTGTTGTCGGTTGAGTATGGCTAAACTACCCAAGCCATTCTGGGGTGAAGCTGTGCTGACAGCTTGTTATCTTATGAACAGATCACCTTCTGTTCCTTTAAACTTTGAAGTTCCAGAGAAGAAATGGTCAGGAAGAGATGTTTCTTACTCTCACTTGAAAGTGTTCGGGTGCAAGGCATTTGCACATGTGTCCAAAGAGTTGAGACAAAAACTTGATCTCAAGTCAAACTCATGCATCTTCATCGGTTATGGAGATGAAGAATTCGGCTACCAGTTGTGGGATCCCAAAGTGAAGAAAGTTATACGAAGCAGAGATGTTGTTTTTCATGAAAACGAATTTCATGAGTGCGCTCCAATAATCCGCAAACAACATAATCCTGAAGATGAAGTCCCTGTATCATCAAACATTCCTCTCAGCGACGAGGAGATGTATGATACTACTGAACAAGAGAGTGATGGTTCGGTGGGTAATGATGATGATCACAGTGATGATATTCCTCAGCAGGGGGAGCCTTCATCTGAAGACGAAGCTGAAGGTACTCATGTTCGACGTTCTATGTGAGGCATAGTTCCACAGAGAAAATACTCCACATCCGAATGGATACTTGTTGCTAGCGAGGGGGGGGGGGGGGAACGAGCACCGCAGGAACGAGAGAAATAAAGAAAAAGGTGGAGGGGGGATTTGTAGGGTTCTTCCACCTTCTTTCTTGGAAGTTGCTAAGAAGCATATATCACCTTCTTGGAAGGAGGTTTCCAACATATGAACATGGGAGAATATTTCTTGGAGATAGCTAGGAAACTCCCTAGCAATGGAAATGAAAGCCTGGAAGCAACTTCCTCATGTCTACGATATACACCTATAAATAGGGAGTGTATTGTTGTTCATTTGTATCAGTTTAGAAAGTGAGAAAAGTGTGTGAATAGTGAAATACATTTCGTGTAGAAATGTATTTGCGAGGATTGGGTTTTTGTAATAGTTGAGTGTGAGAGTTTGCTCCTCCTATTGTAATTCTGTTCTTGATATCGAATATAAGAATTTTCCAATCCCAATAAGACGGAGATTTCTAGGTTTTGTGTCGAAGGGCGGCATACTCGCCGGAGAAAGGCTGACGAGGAGAGAACAAAGAAAACAAAGAAAGAAGAACGGCAACGGAAAGATAAGAGCAGAAAAAAAAATGGAAAGAAGTTGCGGGGGGGGGGGGGGGGGGGGAGACAGAAGAAAAAGGTATAATGCCACATAAATGTCCACGTCAGTTGTCACCAAATACACTCACAACCAACATGGTAAAAAGCAAAATTAAATATTTTTTTATAGTTGGAGGGTTTGATTGATCGCTGATAAAGTGTAAGGACTCAATTGACTTTTTTGAAATAGTACGATGACCTATTTAACAGTTTTCCCTTAACATTAATTGACCAAAACATGTTGTATTTACAATTTAATTTGGGACAGAGGAGCATGATATTTTGTCACTATGATTTTGCTTATCATATACGAAGTACTAGTATAAGCTTTAAAGTGTTATTCAAACTTTTGATCATGTAAAATTTGAAGTGTTGACAAAGAGAAAATAATAAAAGGACTTGAGTGTTGTTTAAATAGCATAAAACAAAAGTTAATTTCAAAAAAATGACATACATATTACTAACAATTTTTTTCAAAAAAAATATGATTAATTATGTCTTTAGATAAAAATATTATTAATCACTGTGTATGAGTAACTGGATAAGAATTAATATAATATATTTGAGAGTGACAAATCACTAGTAGTAACAAATCACTACTAGTTGTTGAATTAATATAACATATTTGAGAGTAACAAATCACTACTAGTAGATGATGAATCATCGGAAGGTAGTTGTTGAAAATTTTAAAATAAATCGTAAAAAAACGATTTGGCCAATAAACAAAAATTACTTGTCAAAGCCTAAAAAAATTACTCCTCCTTCGTTATATTCTCCTGCAATCGCAACAAGCCAACAAGGTACATATTCTCTTTCTCGACACGATTCTATTGAATTATTCAGTTGAATTTGCTCATCTGATCTCTGATATCTGTTATGATCTTCGATGTCTCTATTTACTTCTCTCCGGTTGTTTGAAAATTTAGGTTTTTAATCGTTGAGCTGTTTCGTTTGATCGCCGATTTAAGGAAAAAAATAGGAGAGGTGTCTGAATATGTGGGCAGCTTCATGCCTTGCGTCATGCTGCGCCGCGTGCGCTTGTGATGCTTGCCGAACGGTAGTGTCAGGGATCAGTCGCCGGTCCGCTCGTATAGCTTATTGCGGTCTCTTTGGGCTGTCTCTGATTGTTTCATGGATTCTTCGACAAGTTGCTGCTCCTCTCATGGAGAAAATACCGTGTAAGTTTTCTTCCCTTTGCTGATGCGTGTTTAGTGCTCATTTATGGGAATTTCAGTAAAAGCGTGACGGTTAAGAACTTAAGCGTCTTGCTTCCAAGTTCCACTTTCTTAACAAATTCCTTTGTGTTTGTGCCGAACTTCTAATTTGCATCAGTTTACTGATTAATTACTGTTATGACTGGTCGTGATGACTGGTCGCTATATCCTAGATTGAGTTCCTCTATTCCAACTTTGTGTTTCACCTCATATTCCACCATTGAAGTTCAATGCATTACCCATACATGGGATGAAATCACTGCAGCCCATGTGGCATGCTTTGAAAGATGGGTAATACATGATGAAACACTATTTAGAATAAAGAACCTCAACCTATATCTGAGTACATGCATAAACAAATGGAGAATGTATCCAGTTCTCCACCATTTGTTGATATTTGGGACAGTTGGTGGTGTTTATAACTTCTAGCACACTATTATGATGATTTTGTCAAAGTGCGCCCTTATTTTGACTTACTGATTGTTTTTGTGCATGATCTCTTTTCAGGGATTAATCATTTCCACAAAACACCAGATAGAGAATGGTTTGAAACAGATGCTGTACTTCGAGTTAGCTTGGGAAACTTCATGTTCTTTACTATCCTATCTATCATGATGGTTGGTGTAAAGAATCAGAAGGACCCTCGTGATAATTTGCACCATGGCGGGTGGATGGTGAAAATAATCTGCTGGTTTCTTTTAGTCATTTTTATGTTTTTTGTTCCAAATGAGCTGATCAGCTTTTATGGTAAGTTTACTCTTGTAATGTTTTTGGCTGTTTTTATATGTCTGTTATACTTTTTGAGTTTTTTTACTTTTTTCACTAATGTCAAATTGTCTTCTCTGTGTGTTTTCTTATGACAGTGAAAAGTCTAATTATTATGATTATAGCATAACCCTGAAGATCTCCATTTACATAAACTAATTCGTTGACTACTTACTCCGTAATAGGAATAACTTTGTGTATGTTGATTCATATGCAGAGGCAACATCAAAGTTTGGTTCAGGATTATTTCTTCTTGTTCAAGTTGTGCTTCTGTTGGACTTTGTCCATGGATGGAACGACAAGTGGGTTGGATATGACGAGCAATTCTGGTCTGTTTATCATACATTTTTTTCTTGTTGTATATCATGAGGACCCTTTGCATCTGTTGGTTTCTAATCCTTGTTTCCCTTCTGACTAATTTTTTAGGTATGTTGCCTTGCTTGTTGTTTCTCTTGTGTGTTATGTGGCAACCTTTACTATTAGTGGAGTTCTTTTTCACTTCTTTGCTCCGTCCGGGCATGACTGTGGGCTGAACACTTTCTTTCTAGTGATGACCCTTATTTTCGTCTTTACCTTCGCTATTGTCACCCTGCATCCTTCAGTAAGCATCTTGGATCTTGCTATTTGTATCTCAATCAATGCTTCATTTGGACTTATCTTTGGGTATTTGGTTGCCCATGCAACCTTGCTTATCATAATTGTTTTCTACACTTTAAAATGTTTTAAAGATCTGAGATAAAACTTGTTTCTTTTTATTGTTTTTTAGATTAGGAGTAATGAATTATTTCGTAATAGTGTTGAAAATGGTGATGCAATATAGGTGAAAGGAAGCATTTTCCCAGCATCAGTTCTATCTCTGTACTGCACATACCTTTGCTATAGTGCGCTTGCAAGTGAACCTAGGGATTATGAATGCAATGGCCTTCATAAGCACTCAAAAGCTGTTTCCACTGGCACACTAACTCTTGGGCTACTTACTACAGTTTTATCTGTAGTCTACTCTGCAGTTCGTGCTGGATCATCTACCAGTTTGCTTTCCCCACCTAGCTCACCACGTGCTGGTTAGTTTCTTGAATCCTACCACTTGATTTCTATAATAATTGTTATTTTGAATTAGGCTTAAACTTTTAGCTCCTTGATTTTATTCATCTTACGCCGACTCTAGCAACCTTCATTTCACGGTGAAACAGACGGGACTAACATAATTTTGTCTTTCTTTTTCTCATCATCTCATTTTCAAAATATAGGTAAGTTTTGTTTTTAAAGTCATTGAGACATGTATTAAACATTAAACATGAATGATTGGTTGCATTTACCCAAGGAAGTGAGATTTAAAACAGAGGAAAACTAATAAGTGATGGTGTCTAAAATTTTACAAAAAGCTGACATGGAAATTTTGAGGTTGAGTTATGAAAGTGACATTAGATTTTTTTATTACGAGAGAAAAAAAGAATTTCGGAGGGATCTATAACAAAAGGTGTGTATTTTCAGGGGCTGCAAATATATTTATGCCTTGATTTAATGATGAGTATAAATGTGATTTTTCTATTGAAGGTAAACCTTTATTGCCGTTAGACAAGGCCGATGGGGATGACGAGAGTAAGAAGTCAAAGCCGGTCACGTATTCATATTCCTTCTTCCACATCATCTTCTCTCTTGCTAGCATGTATTCTGCAATGCTACTCACAGGATGGTCTACATCCGTTGGGGAGAGTGGGAAATTGGTCGATGTTGGATGGGCATCTGTTTGGGTTAGAGTGACAACTTGCTGGGTGACTGCTGCTTTATTCATTTGGTCTATGATTGCTCCGGTTCTCTTCCCAGATCGTGAGTTCTGAGGATGCACACTATCCCATATCTGCATGAACATTATTATAACGACTGCATGGTATGTAAATGTTGTGTGCCGTGACACTCCTAATGCTTGTGTATTGTTTTCATGACAATATATGCATGATGGTTGTGAAAGTCAACAATTGCTTCTGATGTCTAAAATGCATGAATTCAACACTATTTAGAAAATGTTTAATGCTTTTCTGTGTGGACACTTTAGATAAAGAGCGTACATATATTATGTGTACCCAAACTCCCAAAGATCTGGCCGGGACTCTCAACACTCGAGTTCAATTTGAATTTGTTTTCAGTGAAAGCAAATGGAAAAATTAGTACCTTACTAAACATGGTTTTAAAGGTCAGTTGTACGTGATTATTGATCCTCGTAGGGATATAATAACTGTCTTAAAATGAGTACCTTAGTGTCTGCTTTGATTCAATAGAAATAAAATGTAAGATATTGATGATCTTTTATGCCAAATTGTATGACAAATTGAGATTTTGTGAGAAGGATCCAAATGATAGTAGTTAAAGAGACTCTAAGAAAGATTAGTAAAAGAAAGCAGTGGGTCGAGAAGGTATATGTATCGAGGTCTTGAAAAGTTTGAGAGAGAAGCATCGAGTTGTTAACACTTTTCTGGAACAAGATTTGAACAAATAACACTATGTCAATGAGTTCACGAAAGAGTACTCTTATTCTCCGATACGGATAAGGGTGATGTACAATAGCATACCAACTATCGAGAGATTAAGCTTATGAGTAACATCATGAAACTTTGAGAGCGTGTGGTTGAGCAAACGCTCTGAAGAAGTGTGGATCTTTCAGAGAATCAATTCGGTTTACACTTGATCGCTCAACAACAAAAGTTATTCACTTTCTTAAATAACTTGTGGAAAAGTATATGCAGCTAAGGACACGCATATGATAGGGTACTTTAGAAGTCCTCTGATGGGTCTTAACTAAAAAAGACACATCATATACATATATATTAACATCATCATGGATATGTATGAGATTGTACTACATATGTTCATACTAGTTTAGGGAGGACTGTAAAGTTAGGTTCCTTATTACTATCAAGTGCACCAAGGATCAATTCTGAATCCTTTCTTATTTGATATAGTCACAGATGAACTTATGAAGTGAATTCAAGAAAATATATCGTGGTGCATGATGTTTGCTGACGATATTCTATTGATTGATGAGATACAATCTAGTGTTAAATCAAAGTGGAAAGTATGGTGACAAACATCGGAGAACAAAGGTTTAAGACTGAGTTGAAGCAAGCTTGGGTATATAGACTATAAGTTTGGTGGTGCTAGACTATAAGTTTGGTGGTGGTAGAAGCAACAGTAATAATAGGATTACCCTAGTCGGTAAGGAGATATAGGTCAGTGATATGTTCTGTTGGGCTCCATAATCCACAAGAGTGGTGAACTAGATGGAGATGTATCTCGTATATTTAGAACATAGTGGATGAAATGGAAGAGTGTGTTGGATTTTTATATGATCAAGGTATGTTGACTAAATTGATTGATAAATTTTATCTGAATCAATTAGGCTTGCATTACTATATGGTGTAGAGTGTGAGACGATAAAACAATATCACATTCAAAAGATGGGTTTGTGAGTGTGTCTGACATGCGTGTGCTACATTGGATGTGTGAACATATATACTAGAAAAGACCACTTGAGGAAAGACCACTAGTAAGTAATAACATTTTCAAACTAATTGGGTATCAATGTCGACATAATATAGTAAACATTGAAGAGTCCGATTGGATAGCGGTGTGTTGGGCAAAACACCACTTTTCAACAACGGAAACACTGCTTTTCCAGCGTTTTGGTCAGAACACACCAAAAAACAAACACCCCCAAAAATAAAAAAGTGAAACAAAATTTTGAATTAGTTAACAAAATATCTAACTACAAATTTATAATTTAAATAACACACACTCACACAAATTTAGTAACACCTAATATTGAAATGTAGAAACTTAGACATCATCATACAAAAACTAGTCAGTATACATCATCATACTAGAGAACAATTTAAAGCTTAATAAATCTCAAATTGTAAGTAGAATTAAGATAATCAAAGGGGAAAGGAACAAATAAGGCTTCCAACTATTTGCGATTATGCAATCAGATCCCTAAACTGGAAGACTTGTGAATATACCCATCATCAACTCATTAAAAAATTAAGCAATCAAATCATTTTTACCTGCTGATGCAAGTAAGAAGATAACTTTATTTAGAGAAATTATCACTGTAAGCGAATAAAAAAGATCTCATTGCTTAACTTTCAATAAGTTGAGATGTATATTTGCAAGTCTTCTAGTGCAAAATTGTAAATAGTTCGATGTCTTATTTACCCATTTTCTGACAATCAAATGAATATGTCATACTTCATTCAGTACGAGTCTTTGTTTATAAAAAAATAATTAAAGGACATTTGATGCATTTGAAACAGAGAATTGGGTACAACAATTTGGGAGTTTATGTGAACATTAATATTTTTTTAGTAGACTTACCATAAGTTTCGAAAGCCTTTGTCTACACACAAAAAGACAAAAGAGTTTTTTGTGTGTTATTTATTAGTAATTTAGTATATTACTCCGTATATTAAATATAATAGAGTTTTTTAAAATAATATTTTAAAATGGTACGATCTGGATACCCATTTCAAAATTTAAGACGCATTCGATTCTTAATTTTTTTTGGAATCGCCCCACCCCGTTCTGCTTGGTTTTCTAAAATTAGAAATCGGCCTTAACCTGCCGGTCCTGCCCCGAACTAGTAGTACCTTGTTCAGCCCGCAGTTCCTATACCCATTTGTCATTCCTTTGTGTAGAGGGACGCCAATATACTTTGATGCTTGTGGCATATTTGGTGTTCGCATCTGTCAATGTTAAAGCCAATTTGTACTAAAAAGATACTTCTCGTATATACTAACGTTATATTCGCACATTTTTTCTAAACTAGAGCAACGGGAAATTTGATTTGTGCACCTCATCAGTCATCATCGTCATCATTGAAGTAATGAGTATAAGTTACAAAACAAAACAGCCAAACAGGCGTAAATGCAAAAACTACATTTGTTATAAATATCTGTTGAAAAAACCTAAGAGAAATTCCATGCGAATGGTAAATTAACCACTAAAAAAGAACGTCGACAGCAGGGATCGAACCTGCGCGGGCGAAGCCCAACAGATTTCAAGTCTGTCTCCTTAACCACTCGGACATATCGACGACTTGTTAAGATCAGGGTTCAAAAGGTTTTTATAATATATATAATCCGAAACAGATTGATTCAAGTAAGGAGTAAGAGCTTTGTATGTGACAATTATAAGTAAGGAGTAAGAGCTTTGAAGCTTTGACAAAAAGCTCTCCATAGTAAAAATTTGATTCGTAAACCCTTCAAATTTTTCACTTATCACTGAAATTGGCTGAATCGACTGATTCTGCTGAAATTTATGAAATTCTAGCTGAAGTGGCTGGATTGAATAATTCTGTTGATTTATGAAAAAATCATATTTAAAATATTTTTTATTAATAAAATAAAGAAAATATTGTATGAAAAAATATTTAAAATGGTCCTCTACAGTAATTTTAGTCAAGAGAAACATAACTTCAACCTTACTTTTTCTTATTATTAGAGCATCTCTAATGTTATAGTGTGCACGACGCACATGTGGCATGAAAGATAACCACATACATATTAGCAAATAAATTATGTTTCTCCTTATTTGAATGATTTTATAAAATTTTGGTAAGTTTTCCCCTGCAATGTCAACTTCTAGACGATCTCATTGACATTGTGGAGAAAAACTTACCAAAATTGCATAAAAGCATTCAAATAAGCTAAGGAGATAAAGAATTTATTTACTAATATTTATGTGGCTATCTCTCATGCCACAAGTGCACCGTGCACATTGTAGCATTAGAGATGCTCTTATACAATTCAGTATGTGAAATAAAAAGTTTCGTATTTGGTGAAAAATTGGTTGATAAGTCTAATAAGTCGAAAAATAGAGTCACCAAATGGGCTCGCTCACAAATTAATACTTCGTATGTACTACGTTCACATTGATTACTTTCTTGTATGGCTCCCAGGAATGAAATGCAAGGTGATACTTCATGAAAGAGTATGACTTATTATGATAGCTTATTACTATAGTTTTAAATCGTATTACATATTTTTTCATACTCTGCCGAACCAAATAGACCAACTTGCAAAGGCCAATATGAGAGGCCTAAGGGTCCCTTCCCTAGCAATGCCGAAAATAATCGAGAGTTTTTCACAAATGGTCTAAAAAGTGAAAATAATATCACTTTTTTCACTTCTCAAAATTTCTTTTAAAAATAGACTAGAAAATATTTCATTTTCGACTACAGACCACTTACGGAAGCCTGCTGTTAAGTAAGTGATTGCACACTACACTACACTACACAAGGGTGATTGATAATGCATTCTGCCCCAATTTTAAGCTTTATAACTATACTTGTAAATTTCATAATTTTAAAACTTTAAGAGAAAATAAAAAATGATATAAAATTCCTATTGAAGAAACTGAAACAAATTTATATATTCTCGAGAAGACTTAATAAATCTGTAAAAAGATAAAAAAAAAAGCTAATAAATTATAAAATATAAAACTATAAAAAGTGAAAACTTTTAAATTAAAAAACTATAAAAATATGTAAAATAGGATAGAAATGTTTTGAAGCTATTTAAAAATATGAACAGTAATTTTAAATCTTTTTGAAAGAGTATTTTTTTTTAAATAGATATATACACAAAGTCAAAAAACATCAAAAAATCCTAAATATAAAAGAGTTGAAAAAAAATCAATTAAATATATAAAGTTTTAACACATTCAATAAATAAAATTAAATATTAAAGTAAACTAGAAATCGTGTAAGTTAAATAAAGCTGAAAATATGTCCAAATAACGAAAATTTAAATAATTAAAATCATAAAAATCAAACAAATATATAAATTTGTAATTCAATATTATAATCATTAGTTGTTGGTATACAAGAAATTAGTTGTTTCTTTGAATTTCTTTGTGTTTCATTTTGTTTATAACTTTGAAATTTTTGTTTTTTATTGTTTCTTTTTATTTCTTGTGGTTGTTGATATACACAAATTCAAATTTATCTTTTAGGTGTTTGCAATAAATGTGATTATGAGTTTATTCACCAAAGATGTAGCATAGATAATGATGGTCCCAAGTGAGGTAGAAGTCTAGAGGGGGGGGGGGGTGAATAGACTTCTAAAAATCTTTTCTTTTCAACCCTTTTTCCTCTAATAGAATGTGTTCCAATATCTTTTGGGATACATTGAAACATACAGCGGAAGTCTTGACCTCAAGAATGTGACACTTTATAGGAACAAATGTTATGACTCTTTTAGTTTTAACAGAGATGGGTGGACAGAATACTTTTTGTGTGAAGGATTTAGACCTATTGTCATAGATCTCTTTGTAGTGCGTAGGTAAGGAGTTTTTGGTTCACAGAAAACTTTAGGGAGTTTTCTGGTCAGTGAATATGCAAGCCTTTGGGATAGTATGAAGGTGAATGAGAACTGAAGTATGTGTTGAGTGCTGAATGTAAAAGGTACACAAGATATATCCTGGTTCAGAGGTGGTGTAATCCTCTTACATCCAGTCCCAACCTATTTCAGATGGATTTTCCACTAAATGAATATCCCGTTACATTTAGTGTCCAGTCTACCACTGGCCCGGGCATAGATTGTGAGGTTTTTCACGAGGAACCACACTGTTCCAAGCTACTCATGTCGTCCAAGGTTTTTCACTAATGGCTTGCCCAGCCAGAAGCTACTCATGTCCTTGCCTCACCTTCTAGATGATCACACACATCCCAGAATGAATACACTAGACTAGTTTACATGGGTTTAAACTAATCTATCAACTAATCTAAGCTCTATAGATGTGTATGAATGATAAGCTATTCTAAGAGCATTAGATGAGTGGGGTGGTAGCCGAGTGGTGAAGGTGAATCAACTAGCTGGATGTTTTCTTGTAAACCGTGATTCCCTTATGTTCCACTGGGTTCCAATATACCAGGGTTTGTTGTCATCTGGTGCCACACTTGGTCTTCCCGCACTCCTTCTGTATTTATAGACTTTGTTGTTGAATCTCCTCTGTTGACTGAGTGATCCAATATTGATCGTTGCTTGATCTACATTGTTTGTTCCACTTGACTGGGCAGTATGATTGATTCTTGTCTTCTTGTGACACGGATCATTTTATCTTCACTCAACTTAATTATTTATAATTATTTATTTAATTATTTATTCTGTAGATTTTAGAGAAACACAAACAACCGTCATCACTATTTGTCATAGAGACAAGTATTGCCTAGTGCGGTGCAATGCCCTCATCAGTTCATCACTCATCTTAGATTCTTAGTCCCTGAAAGTCCGAAATCATATTATGTGTGTAGTGTTTTTCCCCTTGCTAAATCTAGTATTGAATCTTTTCTTTTAGTTTTTAGGAGGTGAATATATAATTTTTCATACCTTATTGGGTAGTTATCCAATTTTTTTCCTTAGAGGCTCATATTACACACGCGAACATGTATGCGTCTTTGCCAAGCGCCCCTATCTAGCCAGTAAATTATCGGCGTGTCCCATGGCATCAAATTTTACGCTTGGCCTTTTCAATAAAATGTGAGAAGAAAATGGAAGTAGAAATTCTGAAAGGAAAAAAAAAAATCAAAAACGAAAAGAGAGTACGAATCAGAGAGAGAGAGAGAGAGAGTACCGCAGCGAAGCGGGGAGAGCGATCGGGGAGAGAGATACCGGCGAGTGGGTCTTCAGTACTTATCGGTTTCTTTAGAGAGTGTCAGAATGCGAACCAATTTACAGGGAGAGGAGTAGCAATGGAAGAGGAAGCTTGTACCTGGGTTCCAACGAACAAGTAGCAAGAAAGGAAACCATCAGAAAAGCGAAGTTTTTTTTGGTCATTGATGTGTCATTTTATGAATCTGGAATTTGTAATCAGTTCCTGAGAGCTCCAATAAGGTCAGCCCAGCTTTTCTCTTTCTCGCGCTCTTAGTATCAGGCTCTGATTTTGAGCTTGAATTACTGTAACCTCATTTCCCAGTTACAATGAATCTCGAAGTTGAAGTTTGAAGCTTCAAGTTTTAGTCTTTGGTTAAAAGGTGGCATTTTGAAATTGGTTTGGGTTTTCCGGGAATTAGGAGTGTAACTCATTGATTTGGGAGGGAAAGTGGACTTTCCTTGGAATTAGTGGTCATACAATTGTTTTGAGTGTATGGTTAATTTGGTCGAAGGTTCAGATAGTGATGTTTGGGGTTTTGGGTTCATAATTTAGAAATTCCCCGTTTGGGATTTTTGGAGAAAGAGTTAGTTTGTGCATTTCGGACCTTGAAGTGTGAACGGGCTCTGCCCAATCTACAGTTCACAGGAAGTTAATGTATTGGAGATGGTTTTGGGTTCATCTATTTCGGGTTTACTATTAGAGTGGCTGGATCTTGTTTGGAGGATTAGCATTTGGACATGTTGCAAAACCCTAATTTAGCAGAGGAATTGGGATTATGTGATTTATTATGTGTTCTTGAGCAGAGGAGTAACTATTGCAGAATTTTAATTGTCCTTTTGTGCATGCAATTATAGGTGCTTGCAAGAGATGAAACCGCCACAGCCACATCAGCAATCACGGATCAATCTTGTAGAACTGAAATCTCAGATAGTGAGGAAGCTTGGACCAGAGAGGTCAAAACAGTACTTTCATTACTTGAGCAGGCTGTTAGGCATGAAGATAGGCAAGGTTGAGTTTGACAAACTTTGTGTCCGGATTCTCGGAAGAGAGAACCTTGCACTGCATAATCACTTCATACGTTCAATCTTGAAAAATGCCTGTAGTGCGAAGGTCCCACCGTCAAGTCATGATGACAATGAACTTTTAGTGCATGCTACTGCAGGTTCCAATAAAGAGACTTCAGGTGATGCCGTTGAGCGAAATGGACCCCTTGGAACGAAAGGGAAGAGTATTTCCACTTCTCTACGACCATCAATTACTCGACCTTGTGATTCTAAAGTAATTGAGGAGAATAGAGATTACAGTGCACCTTGTGTAGGTGATTTGGGCCTTGACCCTACAAAAGTTTCAGTATTGACTATACCAACTTCTGCTCCTGTTTCTGTACATAACAAGGACAGAGTGAGAAATGAAGGGGAAGAAAGTCGTGCTAAGGTCCAACCTCAAGCTCCACTTGGCATTCCATTATGTAACGTTAGAACATTACCATTGATGAGTGACAGCAAGCGTGTTTGTACCAGTGGTGCTTTGTTAGACACTTTGACTCTACGAGAACGTATGGAGCAGATTGCTATAAAACATGACCTAGAAGGGGTGCCTATAGATTGTGCAAATTTATTGAATAAAGGTTTAGATTCTTACTTAAAAAGTATAATCATACATACCGTTCAACTTATGGAAGCAAGATCTAGGTGTGAGCTAACAAAACCCATAAAGAAGCATCCGATAAACGGGAAGCTTGTTAATGGCATGGAACTACGTACTTGTAGGCCTTTGGAAGTCATAAAGGAGAACACCCCACCTAGCGTAATATCATTGCAGGATTTTAGGGTTGCCATGGAACTGAATCCCCAACAACTAGGTGAAGACTGGCCATTGTTGCTTGAGAGAATATGTACAGAGTCATTTGATGAATAAATGAATAATATGTGATTTCCTTTGGTACACGGTCAAGTGGCTCTTGGTGAGGTCCCTACTCCCCTGGATGCTTGAAAGTCATCGGAAAAGATGGTCATCTTCTCTGTTCTCTCTAAGGCCTTTATGTAAAACACTAAAACGTGATGCTGGAACTTTCCTTAGTGGCCTTTCCGAGTAGTCTTGCAGCTGTTGACATTTAGACAGGCAGTGGGGTCAAGAGTGCAATAGCAGGGGTATTTTTGTCTTCGACACAACTCAATATTCGCAACCACCGAAGGGTTGGCCCCTCCAACAGAAGTTTGACCATCTCGGTTTTCCTGTTGTATGATTAATGTAATTCTCACTGCATATTTTCTGCATTGTCTTGTAATTTATGGTCAATGAGGATTTATAGAACAGTTTTGCAGGAATAATAGAATAGTTCATTAGCTGGAAGGAAAAGGTGAATCATTCTAGAGTTCATGTGTATGGCTGTATGTATCATCAAAGTCAAGATTGATTGGAATCCACCATTGACAAAAATATCCATGACTAGCCCGACCTGTTAAAATCAAAATTTTTACTTTCTTTTTTACTTCTGAATCTGTAATTTATTCTAAATTTTTCTGTTGCACTTAGAAATGCACTTCACAGTTTTAGTGTATATACCAGGTGCTGGTTCTGTGTCAAACACACTTTGCAGTCATTCTTTTGAATGTTTTAATGAGCATCATTCAGTTCACACTTTCAATCACTGTGGAATTACTTGTATTTCTATAGCAGGAAGATTCTATAAGTACGAGTAAAACATAACACATTTATCCAAATAGGAGTATTGATGTTGTTGTTTCTGAAAACAAGACTCACCCACTCCTACGAAAGGAATTATTTACCACTTTTAGGATGTTTTCTTTTGGACATAAATTTGCTGGTCTGGTCTGATCTGGTCTGTTTAAGTCTGGTCTGAACTGGTCTGGTTTGGTAAGTGTCTGGTCTCCGTGTATTTTATAATTGTCCAAGTCTAGTCTGTTTAAGTCTGGTCTGGTATGTTTAAATCTGGTCTGATCTGGTCTCATTTTGTCTGAAATTGAAAGCAGTCCAAAAGAAAACATCCTTATTCTTTTTAAGGACTTGATGATTGTTGAGTCCTTATTTTAGAACAAAATAGAGATACTCCTGTTTTTTGCACATGCCCATATTTTACTTGTATTTGAAGTAATTTGTTATCTCCTTATACATTTCCCACATGGTAATTAATGTTATTTAGGATGACAACCAAACAGATATAAGGATGCTATGTACTACGGAGTAGTATCTAAAGTTAAGTATCCAACTCCCATTACATTAGACAACACTTTTTCTCAAATGCCTTGACTAGTAGCTATATGAGGACTGAAAAAAGATGCATTTATGTGTATACATTGAACGAGAGTTCAATGTTTATTAGTCAGGAATTCAGGATGGTATGGATATACATAAAGAAGATATCAGTTCTGTTGAGCACACTAGAACATTGTCAGAAATCCCAAATGATGAAATGATTTCAGATATTTTTGCTTTCTTAACTTTAACTCTGTTATACTGTTTTTCCCTATTTCCTTTTAGGGGTAATTGTTTAATCACCATTGAAGGTCAGAACTCTTCAATTAACGCTGTAAGATCAAAACTGATGACTCCAGCAGTCCAGCTCTTTTCTGGTATTCTGTATTTAGCTATTTGTGAGGTCTCATGATTCATCTGTTAAATATATGTGGGGTAATCTGAAGTGAGGTTCATTCCTGGAGGACCAGTGGTTATTATTGCAGGTTTAATGTTTGAACCATCTAACAAAGTCTTTCTTTCTCCAATTTTTTTTACATCTTACTCTGGTTCTAGTCGGTTATAATAATAGAGACACGTAAGTGTCTACTGATGTTGGTTTTATAGAAGAAGTCATTTTTATTTCCACAAATTCTTTGTCAAAAGGGAAATTTGGAAGATAATTCAGCGACGGAGGGAGTACTATTTATGTATGTTTGACAATCTGCCTTAGTTTCTATTAACCACACAACCACTCTACTGTTGCTTTTGCAGTTCTATATTTAACCTATAACCTGTATGACGCTTTGATGCCATGAAAGATCTGGGGAAGGAAGCATGCAACTTTAACTTGATTTATTGACTAGTGGTAACTCTTTGAAACTTGGATGCTGTTTGCTAATTACAGGATGATCTTTGAGATCAATCCTTCAGTGGTTGATGTTGATGGCTTTTATGAGATTTTCCATTGTCTTCGGTCTTATTCCTTGAACAGGTATTGTGTTTTGAGATGCTAAATATTTTTTTTCATATAGTAATAAATCTTTTTGAAAATTGCACGCTATCACCTTGGCAGTGCATGCTGCTAAAAAGATGCAGTAAATATACTTAAGTGCTCATGGTGATTGTGATAAAATTTAAAATTGACTTAGGGTGTCACTCAATTACGTTCTAAGACTTTTGGGTCAAACTACATGAAAAAAATTAAATTCAACCTATTAGCTTTTCCAATTCAAAATCTTAAAAAGCTATCATTCTCTTAACTTGTCTGATATGGAACTCAAATAAACTCCTTAAGTGGACAATCAGGTCATTTTGAATAGATGCGGGAGTTGTGGTCTTATCGGGAAAAACATCACTAAAAGATTAAAACCAATCTATTAACTAGTTCAAATTATAAACCACAATTTTTCTTCGCCTTTCTGGTGTGAGATTCTAACAAGAAGCGTATGCTTAGAAACGTGCTGTAAATCATATTCATAATTTTTCTTTCCCCTTCAATTATCCTGTGTGACATAACATCATTCAGGTCGGTGAGAAAAGATATTCTATTTACAAGTGACTAGCTTTTTCTTCTCAAAGCCGACTTAGTACGGGGCTTAGCGGGGTGAAGTAGATACACAACCTTCAATTTACACTATCATATACTGATATAGACACTAAATATATCTGGACTCATATCATGTAACATCAAACAGTCAAGTATGATTCCTCAGCATGTCTTCCTTGCACACATTTAGGATTACTCTATAGTGCAGCAGGTTGACTAGCGGTGGAGAGAGATGAGCAACTTGTGTGGTTTGACCAAACAAAAATTCTCCAAAAAGGTCGGTGTTGTTTCTGCTTATTATTTGCATTATCGTCATGCCCAATAGAAGTCAGCTTGGATTCTGCTTGTCTTAGCATCTCCCACATCACCTGGACATCCTCGTACCCACAAGTTTGTATATCATCATGAAGCTTCAAAAGGCCTGCTGCACCTGGGAGGGGAAACCAAAAACAAGTCAGTTATTCGTCATTCCCCTCTGTCGGAATATTTGCTTTTGCATCTTTGCTTGTCGAGATAGTAAGATAGAGAGATGCTAATGTGATACTGTGTTTTTTGGTGCGCAACACAGATAAAGGAAATGGGCACCAGGGAAGCGAGATAGGGAAACATCATTTCTAAAAATGTTCGAGACATTATGCAGCCACACAGGTAAATCCGTAAATGTGAAAATATAGAAATGTATTCAAAATATTTCAACATATGTGGAATGTGTGTGTATATAATATATAATGAAATAAAGAAATAGTCGCAAAGAACACAATTATTCATTTGAAAAGATATCAATTGAGGCAGCATGAGATGCTTGGACTTCCGTTGACATGACAGATCTTCGATTATAAGAAAATTGTACAGAGAAAAGAGAGTTTTGTTTCTCTTATTTTATACTTCGTATTATATAGTTATTCTCTTATTGTATTATTGTATGTATATATATATACACACACAAAATAACAAAAATATATGTATTTACATAGGCGATATGCATTTGCCTTTAACTTTGTAAGACTATAGCCTGCTTTGTCAATGTTTTCATGGGATAAATAAAAAGACTAAAGCTAATCTAAGTGACTAAGTGTGTGGCCTACTTTAATTTCTTTGGATTTATGGCTAAGTACGAAACCAAAAAGAATGAGAATCATATTACTTTGTGGCTAAGATTTCCGAGCACAAAAACTTCACTTAGTTTTGTTGTTTAGTTTATTCCAAAGTATTCCTCATTTCACGTAATTTAAGATCGTGTTTGTAAATTGTAACTTTGTAAGAAAAGGGTGAAATAGAGAAACGGAACACTACTACTTGAATTAATTTCGATTCGATTAGGATCAGTTTCGGTCATGTCTCGCTTGGTATTGACGGGATCACAGAGTGATGCAAGTATTTTGGAAGCACGTGAAAAAGAACCATCAGTTCCGAACAGTAAGCCTACCCCAGTTCTAGTTCAAAAATTGCTGATTCCAATTTCGGTTCCGGTTGAACTGAAAATCGGGGCAGGTCTAAGTAGGAGTATAAATTGACACACATAGACGCGGTGGCCGCTTAAGGTTCCGGTGCTACCCGGATTCTTGCCATTGGTATCGAGTCTTGAAGAATCAGATGCGTACTATATATTGGTCTGATGGATCAGCACAGATTGTTACAATATTCCTTCCCCCTCCACGGCTCCACTTATCTATGCTTATCCTTGATAAAACACCTCTTTTGAACTTGAAGAGTTGCCGCATTATGCAGTTGTATAAATTTAAGATTTGGAAATGACATTTTTACCCACACTCTTTTTCTTAACTATATTCTACTTGAAAAAAGGAATATTCTTGTTAGAGGTTGAGTTTCTTTACTATTTACAATTAGGAAAATTGACAAGAATAATGAGTGGGACAGGGTCCAACGAAGGAAGATGAGGTGCAAATGTGAGATCATTCTGGGATTACGTATATGAGAGATTATCATGAGAAAATATTTTCATCAATTTTCCTTAAAATAATGAATCATTTATCAAACAATGTCAATAGACTAAAACCACTGTTCTGGACTAGGACTCGTAGGAGAGGTCGGTTTCACTGCCCCTCATTTTTTGTCTCATCAAGTATAATGATTACACAAAATTCTTAAAATATGTATTATTAGTACATAACTACATATTATTAGAGGTAGAGACTAAAGAGGCTGTTTCAATGAATAGCCCCCAGAATATATGAAAAGTTGAATGTTAGAAAATTCTCTTGAGATTATTATTTGACTTTTGGTGCAGTATCAAAAAACGGGTTTTTCATTTTCATTTATCCCGGGGCCGCAAAGGCTCCCACCTACGTGGGGTAAGGGGGTCGGATATACGCAGTCTTACCCCTGAATTAAAGCACAAAAAGACTGTTTTCGGATGATCCATAGTGAAAATCGCGTCCAAAATTGCATGGACTGACTGATGCTTCATAATAAAGAAGCGTAGACAGTTTCGTAAGTCATTTTCCTTTATTCCATCACAATCTCAAGCCAAAAAATAAAGAATCTTTGACTCCATTGCAAATGATGAAAAAATCTGAAAACGGGTATGGAAAGAAAAAAAATAGTACTAATTTTTTTGTGTGTGACTTTACTTTGGAAAATAAAATACAAAAAGCTAAACTAAAATTTTAAAATTTAGACATATGTTTAGATTTCTTATATTTAAGTAATAGAGATATTGTAGTATGATAAAGTCAATATTGAAAAAA